CCTCTTCTCCCCTCCCCTCCCCCCAATATAAAAATCGAATGATATTTACGATTTTCATATATCGATAAAAAGAAATATTTGCCCGTATTTTTCTATACATTCGAACTCGTAACATTTTTATCATTCAACTTTATCATATTATTCCTCCTCCTCCTCCTCCTCCTCCTCCTTCTACTCCTCCTACTCTTTCGTATTTCATTTTACGATTTAACGAAAAATCCTTCTTCCTTTTTCAATTACGTAAATACGATCAAAGATAAAAAAAAAAAAAGAAATAAAAAACTAACAAACGTCAATGGCACACACACACACACACACACACACACACACATAACGACACCTAGAAAATAAACGAAAAATAGAAGCATCGTTCGTGAATATGGGAGTAGGATTGAAAACTAACAATTTTGACTCGTTTTCAATTGGATTTATATAACGAAAGTAAGAGAAAATCATAAACTTTCGATTCGAAAACTTACATTCATCATCGATGTTCTTTTTACACATTTTCCTTTTTTTTTTCTTTTTATTCTTTGAAAAATTCAAAACGCTTTTAAGGATTTTCCTCTTTACCGTTCGTCTTTCGCCATTGCATTTTTGTGGATTCAAAAAAAAAAAAAAAGAAAAAAAAAAAGAAAGCACGTCGTTTCGGGAAATCCATCTTCGTGAATACATTCGTTCCTTGTTCTCTCTCTTTCTCTCTCTCTCTCTCTCTTTCTTTCTATCCTCATTCCTATTCTTTTCTCCCAATCTACAACGATTCGTTTTGAAAACGAAAAATCTCTCAAGAGGTTTGTGCTGCTGTTACGCGTCGGATTATTGAAATTTTTCGAGAGTATTGAAAATTCCTACCAATCAGGAACGCCAAGAATGTCGTTATTGATGTAACGCCTGTTGAGTTATTGCTAACCAGGGGGAATGGTCAGGTAGGACACCCCGAACCCCCTTAAGACCCCCCACCCACCCCCTCACCGATTTTTTTGCTAACTCGTAATAAACCGTGAGAATATTCATTGTGCTTTTAAACATAGGACAGGGGTCGGCAATCTGCGGATTATTGAAATTTTTCGAGAGTATTGAAAATTCCTACCAATCAGGAACGCCAAGAATGTCGTTATTGATGTAACGCCTGTTGAGTTATTGCTNCTCGCGAGCCACATGCGGCTCTTTGGATATGAAACTGCGGCTCTTTAAAAATTGCTGAGGATTAAGCACTGATGAATAAATTGTTTAAATCACAACTTTGAAATTTTGTAAATTGTAATTGTAATTGTTGACTCTTCCGACTGAAAAGGTTGCCGACCCCTGACATAGGGTATATTATCAGCTGTTTGCGAAAAGGGTATAGTCGAGAATGTTTATGGTGATAAATGAGAGACTAGAAAAAGCATCGATTAACGGTAAATTCAACGATAAGGGAACCGTAACCCGCGTATGGGGAGACATTAAAGTTTATCCTTCAGCAATTCTCTTAGATTTCTCTTTGTTGTGGTTGACATTTCTCATTGTTACATATCTATATATGTATGTGTGTGTGTGTGTGTGCATTTGTATGCATTTGCACTTCTATTTCGTAATATAAGAGCATTTCCTAATCCGTCATTTTGGGCGTTGGTATTGTTTGCTAAGAGTTTCAAAGGTTCTGTTTAAATTTCTCTCTTTCTCTCTCTCTCTCTCTCTCTCTATCTTCATCCTCCTTGTCTTTCTTTTGGTTTGTTCATGTGTGTAGATATAAATCTGTAAACTCTAGTTAACAATTTAGATATGTACTATTCCATAGAATTATTATATTAGTTCGTATTTTGTTTGAAACTACTTTACAAATGTTCCTTTATTTTCTTTTATTTTTTTTTTTTTTTTATTATTTTACGTTTAATTGTTTACAGTCATTTAAAGTATTCCAATATTAATAAAACACCATATAGAATATAATCTATATAGAAATGAATAAAATTAAATTAAAAAAAGCATATCTTAATATATGTAAATTACGTGTCACGCTGTTTGTCCGCAATGGACTTCTAAACTACTGAACTGATTTTAATCAAATTTTGCAAACTGTATGCAATTTCATTCAACTTGAAAGATAGGATAGTTAGCTAATAGATGACGCCATGTTATATCTTAATATATAAAAATTACGTGTCTAAAAACGTGTGTATCGGACTGATTGTGAGCCACAGCAACGTTTAGCGAGGCACCCCTAGTTGAATATAATTATTAAATAACAGATTTGTTATTTTATCGTATTAAAGTAACAACATTAATCTTAAATAATATATTAATATAATAAATAATAAATATTTACTTATAGATTAAATATATATATTTGTTAATTAATTATTTTGAAGATGAGAAATTAATGGAAGACAAATCAGAAAGACAAGGGGGATGATGAAATTTGACGAAACGTAAAATGTATGATCGATAGAAAGATAATAATAATAATAATAATAATATTAATAATAATAATACAATTTTGCTTTTAATATGATCAAGCCTAATATAATAGCATGAGAAATCGGTCATGCGTCGAGAGAAATCGAGAGACACCTTGATATACCTAGTAGCGTATCGTAAACAGTAATATTACGTCCTTATCTCAGGAAGCCACTCCCCAAGTCCTATCTCAATCTTGCTTACTTCGTCGTTGAATCGTTGGGGGGCGGTGTGTGTTGGGGGGAGGTGTCACATCCGAATAATAAGACTACTTGATTATACTTCTTTTTACTATTTTCTCTTTATTTATTTATTTATTTATTTTTTTTTTTATTATAAAATTTATGAAAATTTTCTAACAATTAATTAATATCAATCCTATTGTGTAATATTATTCATTGCATTGGAATATTGATAAGGATTCACAGTTGGTTCAATAACATTATTTTTGTCTTACTTTCTACAATATCGTTTTTCTTTTTTTTTTTTGAAACGTGAAATTTATACGATACTACTACTACTACTAATAATAATAATAATAATGATAATAATAATAATAAAAGATTGAGTCTAGAATGTTCCATTATGCAATTAGCCCTTATCACTCTAATTAGCAGTAATGCTTTCAGTTATATTGTTCTGCTTGTGTTTGCTTATCATTTATTATCTCGATCCTTACTTTTAAACCGAGGATCAATAATAATAATATTAAAAAAAAAAAAAAAAAAAAAAATTAGAAGGTTAATAAATTGAGTCAAATGATAATAAAAATGTCGTTTTATAAATGCTTTTTGTTATTTTTTTTTTTTTGTTTTTTCTTTTCTTTTTTCTCATCATTTTATTTTTATTTAAGTCAATTTGTTTTTTTTTGTTTTGTATTTAAATTTCAATGTAAAAATTTCCAACGGACAAACAACAATTTTATCGTTTTTCTAACGTCAAAAAGATAATAAAAATAAAGAGATAATAGTTAAAGAAGGTAAGAATCGAATAAATGTAATTTACTATGATTGTCAAGAGTATATGGTCCTTTAGGAAAAAAAGATCGTAAAATGTTGCATAAACTTATGCACATTGAAACAACAAGCATCTTTAAATTTCACATGATAATGAACATGATATAAAGGCACACATACAGACAGTTTTATAAAAGAAAAAGAAACAAATCAACCCACGAAAATGATTCTCAAAATTATCTCTCTCTCTCTCTCTCTCTCTCTCTCAAAAAAAAAAAAGTATCTAAAAGTAGAAAGAAAAAGATGTAATTTCAGAAGATAATCAAGTGACAAAAGTACACTCACCCACACATACATATATATATAAATATATATAAGTAAAATGATCGTAGTAAGGTGTTGCGTAAATTTCAGTAAAAGAAATAGAAATAGAAATAGTAGTAGTAGTATAAGAAAAAAAAAATAATAATAATAATAAGAAGAAGAAGAAGAAGAAGAAGCTGGCGCGTTGAGGAGGGGAGAGGAGGGTGGTTGCCACCCCTCGAAGCACGCTTGCGCCGAGTTGAAAGAGGGTAGGTAGGAAAGAGAAGGGGATTTGGTAGAGGGGTGGTAGAAGGTGCGGAGGCCTGGTACGACCGGGGACGCCGTCAGAACGGCGTCGCGACGCGAACCTTTTGCGTCCGTCAGCCCTTACACACTCTCTTTAACTTCTGTCCGAGAACATTCAACATTGAAAAGAGAAAGAAAGTATAGACCATCAAAATAAACATTATATATATGTATACATGTATTCATATATATATATATATATATCTATATATCTATATATGTACATATAATAAAAATAAATTGATCAATTAAAAATACGATTATAAATTATATCGTAAAAATAAAGAAGAAGAAAATAAATAAAAACGGAAAATGTGAAATAAAAAATAAATTTAAAGAATAAGAAATAAAAATTGAAAAAAAAAAATAAATCAAAATAAAAAGTCAATTTTTTTGTTTTTGTTAAGAATAATAATATTAAAATAATAATAAGAAGAAGAAGAAGATGAAATATGAATTGCAGTTGTAATAAAAAAAAAAAAATCAATAAATAATTGATCTATCTTTCTTTCTCACTCACTCACTCACTAACTAACTAACTAATTCACTTATTTAAATAAATCGTCTTATTAATTGGTGTTAAATCTGTTTCTGTATAAACACACGATAAATACACATAGTAGACACACACACACACACACACACAAACATAGACGTATATAAGTTTATTCGTTCGTGTGATTTTGGAATGGTCGATTTTCGAGAGGTCCGCGTACGCTTCGTGGGACTTTTATTCCTTACGGGTTTTTATCGAATATAAATAATTCAAGAAACAAGAAGAAAAAGAAGAAGAAGAAGAAGAAGGTGAAAAACGGTGAGAAAAGGTGAGAAGAGAAGAAAAGAAAAGAAAGAAGAGAAGAGAGAGAGAGAGAGAGAGAGAAGAGGGTGAAGAGACGTGAAGAAGGAAAAGGTTGACAGTTTTCGTTGACATTTTTTTGTTAGATCCGATCGGTGAAGAAAAATCTTTGAGAGAAACATAAAGAGAGACAGAGATACTGAGATAGAAATACAGTAGTGAGAGAAAGAGAAAGAGACAGCGAGAGAGAGAGTGAGAAAGAGAGAGAGAGAGCGGGAAAGAGCCAATTCAGACGACGTAACAGGTATGTGCAAGCAACCCTACTACTACTACTATTACTATTACTATACTACTACTACTACTACGATTATATACACGTTTACGTAATAACAGTATTCTTTTTATTGTTATTATTATTATTATTATTATTATTATTATTATTATTATTATTATTATTATTATTATTATTATTCAATTGCTAGCATTTTGATGTTACCTGTACGCGTATCACGTAAAATATTTGATTTTGAAAATAATTCTTCTATTATTTCTACACATATACACATACAGACGATACTATTTGTATTATTTTTTCCTACAATTATATGAATGATTATTTAATAACATCTTTGTTATTATAATTATTATTCAAGTGTTATTATTTTTATTATAATGATGTTACATGGTAATTGTTTTACCATTACGATAAAATTATTCTAATATTATTAATATTGTTTTTCTAACAATTATATGTGTGTGCACGATCATCTAATAACATCGTCCTCCTTGTAATTATTATTATTATTACAATATTGTTATTGACGTATTATGAAAAAAAAAGAAAAAAAGATATTTGATTCATAACGATCAGAAATTGAAATTGTTCAATTAATATTGCAATAACAATTGAATTAAATCATTCGCATATTAGCGTTCAACTCTTATCGCGAATTTTATATTTCTTTTGAAATAACACGGATKAGATGCAGTACGGGGAATTAATGGGGGGAAAAAGAGATCGTCCTACGTCAACCATCATAGTGGTGTTGGTGTTGGTGTTGGTGGAGGTGTGTGAAGGTGGTTGTGGGGGAGGCTTTTTGCTTTTTCGATTCCGTCGTCTTCGAAGAAGTTGAATGAGGATAAAGCCGACGTGACACGCGATCCGATCGTATCGATGTGAAAACGTGAGTCCGATACAAAAAAAAAAAGGGAAAAAAAAAATAAAGAAAGAAGGACAGTAAGTGAGTGAGTGTGTGTGAGAGAGAGAGACAGAGAGAGAGAGAGAGAGAGAGATGTAGAAATGGATACAAATGGAAATACACGCGGAACAGAACGCGTGTTTTTTTTTTGTTTTGTTTTTGTTTTATCCTAGTCTTTTTCTATTTGTCTTTTTGTTTTTTGTTCGTGTTTCCTCTTTCATGTTCATCTTTATTTCAATTTTGATCATTTACCATTCAATACTGTTTCTTCGTTATAAACGTAGTTAATGAATTTATTATTTATAATATTAATAATAATTTAACAAGACACTTTAGTGGTTTGATTTTTTAATTGATCACTAATCTCATTCATCCTTGACACACTTCAGGTTGTATATTATTAATATTTAGTTTTATTTATAATAATATTTTATATAAATATTTTACTTTAGTATTTATATAAATACTAATATATAATTTGATATTATTAATAGAATGAAAATAAAAATAGAATAATATATAATATAATATTTATTATATTATTATTAATATTATATATATAACATTATATTATTATTATTATTATTATTATAGAATAATAATATAATATAATATTTTATATAAATGCACACTACTTTACTATTTATATAAATACTAACATAATTTTATATTATTAATAGAAAGAAAGAAAGAAAGAAAAAAATAGGAAAACAAAACGTGACAATTGACATTTTGTATTTAAAACTATTCCAATATTTCCACCCTCCTCCACCCCCTCCCCTTAAAAAGAAAACAAGTTCGGAAAAATATGAAACAATAATTCGAATTTATTTAGATAAAAAATAAATAAAAAATTCAATTAAGACAATTCTAACGAATGATCAAGAGACTTTCGAATGTAAACAATAAAATATTAAACGATAAATTATTACGAACGAATGAAATCGATAGACAGAGAAAGAGAAAGAGAAAGAGAAAGAGAAAGGGAAAGAGAGAGAGAGAGAGAGAATAAAGTTTTCATACGTTTTGTTAATTAAGTTTTAGAAAGAGAGATCTCTGATAAAAAGTGTGATAGAATTCTGTCTATTTTCTTCATTTAGGATGAAAACTCCAAAGGTAATATATTGACCAACACACATACATACATACACACACACACACAACATTTACTATACACCAGTATAGTAAAACCTACACATTCTGTTCCATTCGATATCGATCGATAGTATTGGGCCAATATCTCCGTCTAGTAATATTTTTTTTGACCCCCCCCTCCCCACCCCCCTCTCACCTCCCTATACGACACCACTTCGCTTATATTTCCGTTATATTAAAAGTGAAATTTCTTTTTGACCGATTGAATATTTTTTTCTTTCTTTTTCTTTTTCTTTTTCTTTTTTTACTTCGATATATATTCTCGTTCTTTCGTTCTTTCTTAGTTTGGTAAAAGTTCGTTCCTTCGTTCGTTCGGTTGGAATACACAGATCGTAAAAGGACACTTCAAGACCGATTTGGGACAAACCAACCCCCCCAAGCCCCCCTTCCCCTCCCTTCCTCCCTTTCAGCTTCCCTTACCTATCGTTAATATTTACGAACTTCCAGGAAAGTTCTTTTTGAAGTGTTATGATCTTTTCCACTACCTCCACCCTCCTCTACCCCTCCCCTCTCCCCCTCTCCCCCCTACAGATCGAATAATAATGCTTCGTCGTGTTCTTCTACCTTTCAAACTTATCCAAAAGAGATACCTTCTTTTTTTATTTTTTGTTTTGTTTTGTTTTGTTTTGTTACGTCGATCGAAGGATTTACTTTAGCGAAGTTTGGAAATGTGCACTTTTTTATTTTGTTTTGTTTTGTTTTGTTCTTTTTTTGTTTTCATTCTTTAATAAATATTTATGAAATATTGCTAATAACACCCATCAAAAAGGTTTTTTCTTTGTATTTTTTTTTTTTTTTTTTTATAATAAATATTTATTTTATAAAAAATATTGTTCA